CCTAACACATACCCTTTCTCCTCCACTCCACTCTTAGAAGTCCTTGGGGCAGGGGGCATTTGAAGAATGTCCTTCTAGACCAGGGTCCACTCATCTGTGGCTGCAAATGACTTGTGCTTCTATGTCTGTCTGTCTGTCTGCCCGTCTGCTTGTTGTTTAAAATGGTCTCTCTAGCCGGGCGTGGTGGCACACGCCTGTAATCCCAGCACTCAGGAGGCTGAGGCAGGAAGATTGCTGCAAATTTGAGGCCAGCCTGGGCTACAAAGTGAGCTCAAGGCCAGCCTGAACTGCATAGCAAGACCCTATCTCAAAAAAAAGACAAAAAATAAAAAATAAATAAAATAGTCTCTCTACATAGCCAAGGCTGGCCTCAAATATGTGATCCTCCTGCCTCAATCTCATGAGTGCTGAATTACGGTGTGTGTTGCCAAGCCTGGATGCAAACAACTTCTTGATTGTTTAATTCATTATGCTAGGAGGTGATTAGTAGTACAAAGACCCAAGAAAAGGACTGAGAGCAACCTGGAGCCACCCTAAAATGAGCTGAGTTATCCAGTGAGATCGGAAGCATCTTGTTTGTGACTCAAACGGGCCTTGCAAAGGCTCAGGTTGTTTATGTTGTAGAGCGAACACCAACATGGGCTGGGCTGCAGACAGATCAGCAAGGTTCTGTGTAGGTTTGCCATTTTTGAAAGCTTTGGAAAAAGGCAAGAGAAAAGGTTGGGGTTGAGAAAAAGGGCGAACTGGGGTGTAGCAATTAGGAGAGGGCAGTAGAAGAAATGTAGCCAGGAGATCACAGGGCTGGAAGCTGGTACTTGGGCCGGCTGGAGTCAGTAGCAAAAAAAAGGACTCAGGTGAGGGGCTGGGGTGCTGGGGGTGTAGCTCAGTATGGCACCTGCTTAACATTCATGCGCTCCTAGGTTCAATCCCCAGCACCACAGGAAAAAATATCTGATGAGAAGTTACTTCTTAGTTTGACAAATAAATTATATTACTGTTTGTTCCATGCATACTTAAATCTCTTGATTAAAATTTGAACTAGATGCATGCTTGTCATGCACAAGGCCCTAGCACCAACCTTGTCCCCCTTTTAAACTAGAAAAGCAGCATTTAAAGGATGTAGGTTCGGGACTGGGGATTTAGCTCAGCGGCACAGTGCCTGCCTGGCAAGCGCAAGGCATGAGTTCGATTCCCAGTACTGGAAAAAAAAACAAAAATGAATAAATAAATAAATAAATGATGTAGGTTCACAGGCAAAAACTCCAAACTTACAAGATCCATGGAGGCAGGGAGCGGGAATGTAGGATGGGGAATGTAGGATTGGCAATGGCAAGAGTCCCTGGGATGGCCGAGTCTAGGAAGCACTAAGGTAATTTAACAGCCTTGTTTTAAAGAGGGTGGTGTGGTGGTGCATACCTACAGTCACTGAACCTGGAGGCTGAGGCAGGAGGATTGCCAGAGTTCAAGGCCAGCCTGGGCCATAAAGTGAATTCAAGGCCAGCCTGAACTGCATAGTGAGACCCTGTCTCAAAAAGACAAAGCAGGACCTGGAATATAGCTCAGTGGCACAGCTCCTGCCTGGCAAGCACAAGGTCCTGAGTTTGATTCCTGGTACTAAAAAAGAAAAGAAAAGACAAAACAATAAAAAAATAATAAAGATGGAAAAAGGAAAACAATGACCAAAAATAATAAAGATGAAAAACTCAAATAGACCCTTCTACCCCTTATCGAGTTACTTTCTTCTCCTCTTCAGCACCTGGGCAGTCTGAGGCTGGAGTGTGGGTGAGGGGCTTCCTGAGAGGTTGCACCGAAAGCTAGAAAGGGAAATGGGTTTGAATGGTGGACCGCTCTCTATAACGTGACCATCACATTGCTAACTAAAGCTTTTCTCTGCAAGATAATTCTCCCTCTCCGCCTGGCGTGCATGTTTCTGGGTCTACACTTCCCTGCCTGGGGAATGCAAGTTTGTCACAGGAGTCAGTGAACACTGTGCTTATGTG